TACCACGAAAAACCTGGGCCTCAAGTACCTATTTTAAAAATAATCGTTCCAGGTTAGGATACTCTCTAAGCCCCCTCTGCAATTTAGTGATGGATAAAAAATGCCCCCCCCCTAATGACTCTCTGAAACCGCGCATGCCTACGATCCACCTATCAAATAAAAATTTAGGGTCAAAATGATTCGATTTCGATATTTGTTTAATTCTATATTAGGTATTATTATAAAATACTACAGTAGTAGTGTACATTATAATATTATAACATTATATACTCATTAAAGGTATTAATTAGAATTTAAACATTTTTATCAACAAATTAGCATTTTGCAATTTTGCACTCTTTTCACTTTTTACTCTAATCGGCTGATGAGTGATGGTATAGATACCTACTTGGATACCTACAGTGGTGGGGCAAAAATGTGGAGACTGAAGCATATTGTACCTATATTTTAAATATTTTTACCACCCTTAATTGAACCAAAATTAGCAGCAGAGGCCATTAATAATTATTAATTATAATATTTGCAATGATATTTGTGTTGAGGTATCATATATTATATATATATTCATTATTTTTACATCCACCCACCCATTTCAGACATGAAGCAATTGTTAAATTGCTTCAAATAATCCTATATTCTGCCGTCAATGGCTATCCATATAATTGCGATAAACACAATCAATATCGATTGTTTAAATTAGGTAGGTACCTACTTTATTTTATGCAGTCATTGACCATATAGTCGGATTTCGTTTGAAAAGTTATTTTATACATACCTAAATAACATAATCAGTGGCGCACACTCAAAAATAAATAGGGGTAGCAAATTGATTCGGTTACCTCTATAGGTATTGGCTAATAGACTAATAGCTATAGCCTATAATTATTTAATAGTTTATTTTCAATATTTTTATACGTAATAGAATTTTCATGATGTAAATATTTTGGAGCCAGGGGGTCTACCCACCCACCTACCAAAAAAATCAGGGGTTGCAACTGCTTCCCTTGAACCCTCCAGTGTGCGCCACTAAACATAATACATATTGTTATAGATACAATATACATAATACCCAGTGGCGTCCGCAGGGGGGGGGCTAACGGGCTAAAGCCCCCCCCCATTGCCCGTATTATTATTACTTTTTAAAAAAATATGAATCAAGTTTAAACTGTCAACTATAGACTATAGTAAGCAAGACGTAACTTTCATATATGTCTTACCAGAATGAATTCATTTTTGAAAAAACATTGTATTTGCATACCAATTTTCATAAATTATCTGTAATTTTTCGGTAAAAGAATATGAACTACTTGTATGAAAGACCTTGTATTAAATTGTCTAGCCTTAGCTATACATATTTTATATTTTATAAGTTTTGAACTACAAATTAACTGTGGTTAAATTGTTTTGAAGTTTAAATGCATATGTAAAAAAAAACTTGCGTATTACATTTTCAAGCTTTTCGACCGGATAAATAATTTTTTATTGACATTTATAAAAAAAAAATTTAATTAGTCAAATACAATCCAAGTGAGGACTATATAACCAAGCAGGGGCGTATATAGGATTTTCTTTAGGAGGGGGATATCAAAATTTGTTTTGTGCTATTGCAACTTTTTGTTAGTTACCTACTCCATGTAAGGTATATACCTAATAATAATAAATGTTGTGTAATGTCACTCACATGCCCACAGGATAACAAAATTATAAATAACAACAGTACTGCAGCAGTTTGTACTTTATACATGGAAAAACATGGGTAAGGGAGGGGGTCTATCCCCCATACCCCCCCCATAAATACGTCACTGTAACCAAGCTATTGTTACCCAACAATTTAAATAAGTTTTCATTTTTTTTTCTCCAATTAGGTACTTTTAAAAGCACAGCAGATTCAATTTCGACCTCCTAAAAGTACCAACTAGATCCAATTTGCTTCCAAAAACATACACTGGGCATCGAAGCTTATGATAAGAGCATTTTTTCTACCAGAAAAGTTGAAAAGTTACAAACATTTTAAAATACCTCAAATAAACGTCTGAAATTTTTTGGACTGGACAAAATAAAAATAAATTTGTAACTAATTTTCAAGCCCCCCCCCCAACATTGAAAAATCCTGCGGACGCCACTGTTAATACCTACATAATACATCACATTTTGATATCACCATTCAATATAACTATATTATATGAGCCATAACAAATTTTTAAGTAAAAATAAGTAAAATGTAAAATGTACTTACAAGCTTTAGTATTAAAGCTATATTTAATTAATTGTTATTTTTTTTGTTGCATTAAAATTTATATTCAATTAAAAAATTTACCTGAAATATTTAAATCATTAGCAGGGATTATACACATTTATTATTTTATTTTTATACGTATATTTGCAGTATATTTATTTTATTTTAGTTTTCAATGACTGATTTCATTTTCCCAAGAGATATAGAAGGTGGTTCTAAATTCTAATAAAATATCAAAGTCAATAATAATACATTTATAAAATTTATATTTTATAATACCTACATAAAAATATTGTATGATATTGAAAAAAAAATAATATAATTATATATAATGGTACTAGATAGCAGACAATTGAAAGATTAAAGGTACCTGATAAGTACTTATTTTTGGGAAATAGACAATGTGTATCCAAAGTGTGCTGTAAATTAAAATAACAAATAATTGTGCGCTGTGATGGGAAACACATTTGGGAACCACAATATTATAATACTATACTAGTGTTAGTAGTACTGTACTACTGTAGTGACAAGTGAATAGGTACTAACTGATGAGTGATGGGAATAGGAAATCATTTTCCAACAAATATAATGCTGGTTATTTCAGAATTCAAACCAGATTTATGCCGGAAAGGAGTTTGGGATAGTAATTTTAAACAAACTTATTATTTATAAAATGGCTATACGCCAATACACATATACACAATTTTTTAGTGAAACAACTAGAACGTACAATTTGAATCATAATATATTTAATGATTTTTTTTTCTATTTTACAATAATTTATAATGAATACACTTATATATATAAATTATTTCTGAATAATATAATGTGTTGATCACTTATTTATGTAAATTTTTTTGGAATAATATATTGTGTTGATCACTTATATTTTACCATGATCAATCAAACCATGAACCCATAAATATAAGTTTAATAAAAATTAACAATTATAGATTATAAGAACAAGTTTGATTCTAATAAAATTAAAATAAGATAAAATTAAATAATAAAAATAATAATACAACTTACATAATATAATAACATGATATAATAACATCAATAAACATGAATTAAAATTCTAGCATTTGGTTAAAACATATTTTATAGTATTTTTTCAAGTTTGTTTTAGCTGAGGATAAATATATTTTGATGTTGGGGCAGTGGAGTAGGTACATTACTACATTACTAAATATCTAGTTAAACTAATAATAACGCTTGAAATTTGATTAAAAAAAAAAATAAAACTATAAAACCGTTTTTAACAGAAATTAAATTGTACAAGTGCACATTAAAATGGAATTTTTTATCTTTAAGTAGGGGAATAATAAAATCTTAAATATATAATTTTATTTAACATATAACATTTTACAAATGATCGAATTCCAACAAAAACTATTTTTCAAGATAGATTTAAGAGGATACTACTCATGCATTTATTGCCTCCGTCTTACACACGTACGACATACCAAATTTTTGTTCACTAGTTTCAGCACTAGTGTGCTGTTGGTTTTAATATTACAGTGATTTGACATATTGTCATTTTTTTAGATAATAACATTAGGTATCTGTGCTTAAGCATTGGCTTTTATTCAATATTTTCATTTTCAAGCGAGATATGAGCATTTTTTATTTTTGATATTTCACATAGCCATATCTTGCTTGAAAATGAATATTTCGAAAAATCAGCAAGACTTAAGCACAGATAATATTCTTATCTAAATGTTTTATAATAGGTCAATTCATTCTAGTATCAAAACTAACAGCACACTATTGAAACTAGTGAACGAAAATTTACTATGTCGTGCGTGTGAAGACGGAGACAATAAATGTATGGGTAGCGTCCTCTTAAATTATAGTCCAATATAATATTTATTACTGCCACATAAGTTTAACATTGTATTTGTTATAAAAATTACTTTAATAAGTATAAAAAATTTATTATTTTTGTTGTCTGTTAAGAAGACATTAGTCTAATATTATAAACCATTTAATTCGCTAAAGATGTAACAAAGAACACAAGCACAAGAATACATGAGTGAATACACAAATAAAATTTTTTTAACATTATTAGGATACTAAGAGTACAATACTTGTCTGAAGGTATAATAACTTATTTTTTAACAATAATAATATGTTGGTTATTAATTTTTTATAAAGATATAGGTTATATATTATACTAATATAGGTAATATAAATATAGTATATTCTAAATAACTAATAGCCAATAAGTGTATTTTAAAATATTAAATACAAATTAAAAACAAAATGTTTTTATTTTATTTCCTGACTATTAATATATAATTTTTAAAACATAATATCAACATATGGACTATAAATAGAATAAAATAGTAATTAATTTACTAAAAATCCAATATGAATACTGGATAACAATATAATAAAAATAAATAAAATTAATTCAAAATCAGTGCGTATTCCTTTGTTTCGATGAGTTTAAGTTTGTTAAAAACAAAGGATTTTTTAAGATTTTGAATACGTTCTTTTAATATTTTTGTTATCGATCACAGAAAAAAAATTTTTTTTATGATAACAAGTATAATCTATTACGAATTGTTTTCATCATATTCGTTCAGTCATAGTTTTGTTTATGTTACTTGTGTTACTGTTGAAAAATATTCACACAAATACATTGTAACAATTTTAACAATATTAACAAAACAATTGTTACAGTTCTTACTTCTTTTATAAAATGGTTATAGACAATTAACCTACATTAACAACATAAGAAATGATCTTTTTAAACATCACAATAGTTTAGATCTTAATTAATCAAAAATTTCTAAAATCACGTTCTTTTACATTTATATGATATTATATATATATTTTAATAGACACATTTCAACAATATTATTTTTAACAATATTAACAACTCTTTGATGGTCCGTTCTAGTCACGGCCAGTTCTAATTGCCTAAACACTATAATGTTGTACATATTTTAACAGATGTTATCACAGTCTAATTAGTAAAATGTGCTTTTTTTGAGTTGCACTCGTCATATAAGTAGAACCACATAGTTATATAGTTTGTGGTAGGAACACTTTTGCTAACATAATACAATATAAATATTTTGTTTTTATCATTATTGAAAACAAATGTTTTATTTTAAAGCAATTGGATTGATCATTGCATAAAAAATTGATCTTGGTGATTTATCATTAAGTAAAAATTCAACTTGAAATTAGCAAATGCTATTCGAATATGAAGATTGTTTTATCATGTTTAATTTTTTTAGTTAAGTATGAATTAGAAAAATAAATGAAAGTGTACAACACTGATATTGTAACACAGTAATTAATAAATAAATTAAATGAAAAATGTACCTTGGTAACTTCAATCATCTTTCTTATGGTTATGAAATTTTTAAATAGGTGTGTTAAATAATATATTCTTTTATTATTATTACACATTTTAAACAAAAAATAAAGTATCTAATACTTTTTTTAAACTAAACCTTTCACATATCATAAAATGAGTGTAAAAAATATATAATATGGAACGAATCAAAATTTCAAAATGTTCCTATATAAGATATTTTGTGTTTTGGAAAATAGCGAAGAAATTATAAAGTTGTTTCTTTTCAAAATTATTCCATATTATTTAAAATTTTAAACAAACTCCAAAAGTAAAAAAAAACATTAAAATGAACCAATAACAGAATCATTGTATACAATTGCCATGAATAATGGATTTAAAGTAAAGAATAACAAAAAAAAAAAGGTTAATAAAAATAAAATAAGACTAGATTGAAAATTGTTTCTTTAAACAACATCTATGATTCAATATTTTTGTTTTAGAGTGAATTAGGGTGTGGTAGGTAAAACAATATTGGAGTATTTTATTTACTATTACCATTTGAATCTTTTACAATACTTTACATTTGTATGCTAATAAATGATTGAATCATAGTTCTAGATAGATACTTCCATATTATGTAATATAATTTGCAACCGTAATTTTTTAACCACACAATCGGCATAAAAAAGTATAATTTGTTATTAATACATATTATGATTTAACAACAAATTATATTTTTAAGAAGGATTTTTAAAGTGTATATTTAATTTTGTAATTTAAACCTTTTTCGTGATTAAAAATTTGTTTCTTTTTATGCTAACTAGTTGCTGACCACAAAATAAAATGTATTAGGTTAATTTAATATAGGTATTTTAAGTTATTGTTGTGGTAAATTTTAATTAATATCTAATTTTGTTGTTAAATCTTTAGAAATACATTTCAAAATGTAATTTGAATGACTTACAAATAAATTATTTTTATTCAAAGGTTTCCAATTTGTATCCATCCAGTTTGATACATCCTGAAAGCATTTAGAAAATATAATTTTTTAATTCTTGTTATTATTATACATTTATACTACTGTCTAATATAATTCACAGTTTTAATAAAATATATTTATACATCAGATGAGGATATTTTTTTAAATATAATAAGCTGATAAATGAACATTATAGATAATATTTCAATAATGATTATATTATACTATAATATACAGGATGTTGCACGATAAATATGCCAAACTTCTTGAGGTGTTTCTACACCTCAAATGAAACAAAAAAAGTCCATGTGACCATAATCGAATTATCAATAATAAGGGTGATAATTTCCATGTTTGTGTTTTTTTGCTAAATGCAAGTTTGATTCATATTAATATTCATATCCGCTAAACCGTAGATACTAGGTAGGTACTACAATGAATTTGAATACATTGATGAAAAGCTCATAAAATTGGGATTAGAAAAACATATCTTACAAGGTTCCCACCTGATTTTTTGGGTAAAAAGAATAACACACATTATTATAACTTTAAAATGTCGAAATTTTAAAAAATTTCAGTTTTATCCTACAACAATTTTATTTAAAGCAGGTGGGCCCGAATTTCAAAAAAACTTCAAAATGTTATAAGCTTTTCAACAGTGTACTCAATTTTTTAGTCAAACCTTTCTGAAGGGCTGCTATTCCACCTAATGCGTGGAAAAACCGGGAAAAACGTAAACAAATTTTAAGCAATAAATACAAAACTTGGTGAACTGATTTTTTTTAAATTTTGACAATTTTAAGTTATAAAAAATGTGTGTTATTCTTTTTACCCAAAAAATCAGGTGGGAACCTTGTAAGATATGTTTTCCTAATCCCAATTTTATGAGCTTTTCATCAATGTATTCAAAATAATTGTAGTACCTACAGTTTAGCAGATATGAACATTGTTATGAATCAAACAAAAAACACAAACATGCAAATTATCAACCTTATTATTGATAATTCGACTATGGTCACAAGGACTATATTTGTTCCATTTGATGATTTAACACAACACTCTGTATTTTAAGTTAACACAGTTATGAAATTTGTTGTCTCTGCCTTATGATGTGTAATGTAGTAAAAGTGTAAAAATATTCACCGTATTTCTCCCATTGCAACTACATAGTTAATATTAAGAGACTATGACCTATAACAATATTAAATAATATAAAAGAATAGTGAATACTATTTTATATGTTTTGTCAAAAGCTTTTAAGTATTTTATGATGTGAATTTTACATAAAAATTTTTTTTAGTACCTAATTTACTGAACAATTTTACCTATAAATTTATCGTAAAATTGATACATTTTTATTAAAATTTACGAATAGTGTACCTATTGAATTGTTTCACAATATTATGTAAAGAAGGCTGTACAAATTTAAATAGAGCAAAAATGTTACATATTAAGCTAGTAACCACATATTAACAGTTAACGAAATGTTGTATTTAATAATCACAATAATTTTTATCAATTTTCGGTCATTATCATTCGGTAAAACTTTACATGGTAAATTTACAAGCTCACATCACTATTTTAAATAATTAAAAATGTATACAGTATATAAAAAAAACCTAAGAAATAATTATATATATATATATATATATATAATGTTATGATAAGCTAATAAGTTAAGCCGGATTCACAGCTGTGTCGTGTGTTGTGTCATGTCTATCAAATTGTATTGTGATTGGATATTACTTTTTAGGTATCATCTAATAATCAAGGTGCAACCGAGTATACCAAGAATTTACTACTGCTCAACTTTTAAACCCTATTGGTTACCAGTCGTAACCATATAATAACCAAGCCCTTGTACGACACGACACACAACGTAGCTGTAAATGCACCTTTAGTGTTGTGGTACATTAATATTAACCATTAGTCACAAAAGGAAGAAGCAGCAAGTCTTTTCTGTTATATCTGTGTAACATGGACAAAGATAACTGATTAATCTATTACTTTTATGAAAGTGGACATTTTTTGATACAATGAACATATTGTTTTTAAAATTCATATTTTTTTTAAGCATTGGGATTGATAAAAATTGAATGATTTTTGTTGATGTATCAACCCACAGTTGATACAACAAACACATGTGGATTCTTTTGAGTCTTACATTGTGTATAAGCCCAAAAATACTGATACCAATAAGACATTAAATGTTTATCACCAAACCTCAAATAATTATACATTAATATTTTATAGTTGAATTTGAAAATACTTACTAAAATAACTTCATCATAAATCATTTCGGTTTGTGGTTGATGAAAGCAAATATCTTCTTCTAGTAATTCATACCTTTTCAAGTTAGAACCTCTCAGTCTTGCAATTCCACATACGTCCACTGGTTCAATAAAGTATCCTAAAATTATTGACCATTATTTACTACATTTTAATGAAAACATATTTATGACAATTTTTAGGAAAGTTAGATAGGTATAGTAATATGATATGTCTTTTTAGTATGCAGGTTTTTTTAAGGTCTAAACTAAATATTTTGTGACAATTTGTAATTTGTAATTTTGGTACTTGACATATCTTTAAATGTTATTAATTATTATTACCATCTATTAAACTAATAATTAATAAATACACTAATTTACCCAATACAACAAGTTCTGTAAGTTTGCTGCAAACCCATGACAATATTATCAGTGGATTAGTTTCAATGCCATCTGCAGAAGGTTCAAGATGCCAATGTCCTTTAAGTAAGCCAGCAGGGTTCATTGATTGTTCGTCAACCCAAATTAATGATTGAAATGTATTTCTATAGTCCAGTAATTTATGCAATACTTCAATATTCATCTATAGATTTATAACACTCAGTAAATAATTTTATTACACTTAAATATTAAGTAATTAATAATTATTATAATTAATAGATGTTAAAAAAATTTTTCATAAGTAACTTACTACATTACAAAAAAGAACTTTGAGATGTGTTAATGGCATTGATGGACGAAGTAACTTAGTATGAAGGTGCTTAGCAACAATATGACAGTTGATAATTGTTAATCTTAGTTCAAGTTTTGGGCTATAAAAACAATTTACAAAAATGTAAGAAAAAAACAATTAAATTTATTCACAATTTACAATATTACATAATTAACATAGGTAGCTTGAGTATTTATTATATAGATAAGTATAACACAAACAATTATAAATAAATAATTTTAATAGGTACCAGTATTTTTTAATATCTGCCCAAATATCATCACTTATATCTATATCCAACTCATTATGAACATGTAAAACAAGGATTTCCAATTGAGACATTGAACACAATGCTGGAAGCAATTTGCACGTATTGGAATTTAGGTCTAAACTTAATTTCTAAAGTAAACATTTTTATTATTAGTAGTAGTTCAATAAACCTAATCAGATTTGGAAAAGAAAAAAATTACTGACCTTTAAATTGATTAGCGACGACATACTATCAAAAGTAGAATTAAAACATGTTGTTTTGCTCTCTTCGTTAAAAATTGATGGTCCCAATCCAGCTAGTTCCAAACGTTGTAAGCTATCACAACTATACTTGGATAGCATATGAATCAAAGCATTCCAATAGTAAAACATAAAATATCCAAAACTAAACCCTTCGATGTTTCCTTTCTGCACGACATTGAGAATAGCAAACTCAAAATAGTTTTGAATTGACCACCTGTACTGAAATCTGATAAAATGTTGCAGTTAATAAAAACCCTAAGCAAAAGACCTATATTGTCTGACATGTGTTCAAGACAGCCAGCCACTCACATTTCGTCCTTCGACAACTCACAGTGATTGAGTTCAATGTCAACGTTTCTTAACAGTTGATTGCCCATTAACGCCTTGACAACAGATGAAGCCAATTCAAAGCACTGAGTGCTACGGGAATCAAATGCAAGGTGGATGTCACGTACCAACGTCACTAGGTTCTTATTGGCGTGCTTCACTTTGGACTTGACTTCAGCGTATGAAGTTCCAGCAGACGATATGTCCAGCACCAGACTGTGCCAGAACTGAGGATGGTATAGAGCGGTCCTCCAGTGTTTGCAAGTCGACGAAGCGGCCACTCTGGATTCGGGTGATAGGTGAGTGAATACCTGGTGGAGAGCCAGGCTGGGAAGAGAGTTCCAATTGACGGTTGCCATTTCGACAAGAAATAATAGAGATATCGGGGTCGTTGATTCAACGCACTAGGGTTCACAGGCATTTGACGAGAAGCATTTTTGATTTCAAGCTCTGGGAATATATTATAATAATAATATGATGTACTTTCCTGTAACAGGTAGATATGTAGCTTCGTATCCTCGTAGGAGTAAGTGAGCAACAATATCGATATAAGATGATAATAATATTAGAAATACTGCACGGTTACAGTCTCGGAGTGTACTAAGAACTATGATATAGAGGTTATAAATTTTTTTTCTCTAATGTTTGTAAATTTGTAATTAATCTAACAAGTTGTTCTAGTAATCAAAAGACATTTTGATATTTGATTTCCGAGTTCTGCTTCTGACAACAGCGAAGCGAACAAAATAATATACCGATACACTGATACAGCGATACCGTACGGCATTCACGATCAACAGCTGCAGCTGTTGTAAAATGTAATTTGTTATGTGTAAAATATATACCATAGTAAATACTGTGAACCATATGACCGACAGTGTGAGCGAGACGGGTATGAAAAATATAAGAAAACCGTACAAATAAGATATTGTAATATTGTACTGAAAAAAAGTCGGCCTAGACTTCTGAGTTTATGACGACTATAAGCAATTATAGGGAGGGGGAAGGGGGGTTTAGAAGTGCCTACTTCAATAAAAATTTTATAAAAATTCATCTAAATCACGAAAGTTTGCAAACTATATTGTAGTTAAAAAATTATTAAATTTTAAATCTAATAATCAGTCTTGTAAAGTATTTGAGTAAAAGTATTTGAGTAAATGTATTTAAATACTTTTATTGTATTTAGAATACTTTTTAAATACTTTTTGAATAAAGTATTTGGAAAGTATTTTAAATACGGTTTTGGACGTATTTGTATTTGAAAATCAAATACTTTTATTTAAATACTTTATCGATTTTTTTCAATAATAAATGGTTATTTATTATCTTTTTTCTCAGAAATCAAAGTAATATCATGACTAAATAATATAGTCATGAGTAATATCATTGAAATTTTGTAAGTTTATTCCCGACATAGCCTCCTAAAGTGCAAAATATTATTGTTTTTTTTTCATTGAAGCCTATATTAGTTTATTGTGATGTGAATTATTTGATATTCCAAACTATAAAGTATAAACACAGAACAATAATGAAGCGAAACTCGATCAGCTGATTCGGTTTACGACTTTACGTTTACCTATGATCTATGAAGTCTGAACCTAAAACGAGCCCATAAACCAACATGATGTTAGATCCACGAACGGCATGCGAAAAAAAAGAAACTGTCGGAGAAAACGAAAAAATTCGGCAAAAAAGTCCGGCCGGGAGCGTATTTTGCGTAGGTGGTGTGCTGTCCAAAAAAAGAGGCAAAATGAATGATGACAATTTTGAAAAGATTATGATTTTAAAATCCAATAAAGACTTTTGGTATTAATCTTTGTTTTTATTTTTATTTTTTTCCTGTTGAATAATTGAATAGTATATACATACGTAATATATACATTAGGTAATACAAATATTTTCACTACAGAAATATAGCATTTATATATAAATTATTTTCTCCAGAAGCTAGGTTTGTTGTGGAGATAAAGGTTCTTATAATATCTATTTAGTTCTCATACAATAAATAATTAAAACGATCATTCGGTGATTATTAACTTATCATACAATTATAGGTACCTTGGTTAGTACCAGAATATGGAACATGCATTATAATATATGAACTATTAAGTATTAACTATATAATAATAATTAATATGTACAGTTTGAATGAGTTTGATCTCATGGTCAAATTTAAAGTTAAAATATCAGAGAAAAAGTATTGAACCCAAAGGTAAAACTTAAAACAAATGTATTAAAATAAGTATTTGTGTTTAAATACTTTCTAAGTATTTGTATTTGTTCTTAAATACTTATTGAAAAAAGTACTTTAAATACTATTTAAATACTTTTTAAGTTTATGTATTTGTATCTCTATTTAAATACAAATTAAAAGTATCTTTTTACAAGATTGCTAATAATTATATTATAAACTTAGTCTTTTTTAATAAATATTTAAGTTTAAATTTGAACGAAATTAGATATTCAATCTATATTATACATTTACTTTTCGTTACTTTTTTAAATTAAAAAATATTATTTTAATATATAGGCTGACAGACCATAGTCTTCACTCAGAATTGTTTTTGGAAGGATACAATCCTCGTCGCATTTAAAATTCACGTTCAGCATATCTATTTATATGTAGGTATTGACGTATTGTTTTATACCTACTTCATTAACATCGTTAATATTAAAGTGAAAATTAGCTTACCTATTGTAATTTATACCTAATAACATTTAAACCATTGAACATTTCCTGTGTTTTGTGTTGGTTTCTACGATAATGTAATATTATCTTTTCATCAGATACATGGTTAGGAGGAGGGGGGCAAGTAATAATTTTCAGACGATTTCGATGATTTTTTTTTGTAATTTTGTTTTTAACTGTATACCTACAATTGTTTAGAAATACAGCTTGGGGGCAGCCCCTAGGGCCCCCCTGGAGCCGCCACTGATGGGCCATAGGCATGCTCATAGATAATAACGCAGTTTAAGTCATAATTATGTGATAGACAGTGGTCAAGGCCGGATTAAGCACCTATTGGGCCCCGGGCTTGAAATTTCATATGGGCCCTTTTGACAAGGCACGCTTTAAAACAAACTGGCTACGCCCGCAGGAAGATACATTTTTCTATTTCACAAATGGCAATTGCATTATAAAATTATGAAATGAATAGGTAAGTATATGTAATTTATATGTCTATAAAATATACAACCACTATTCACTAATTGTAATATAATAAAAGTAAAGACGGCAGAAGCTGATATATGTATATACATTTTACAAACTTAGTTTTGCCGTGACATATATTTTCAAATACCTAATGACTTATCAGTTTTGGTCTTTGAATATAAATGGCACCACACACATAATAGAGACATATATATCTTATTAAGTATGATAGAAGAAAAATTTTTTTAAAAAATGAAATATACGATTTCTAAACTATTTAAATGATATAATTGAAAAATTAACAAAATGTACATATCAGCTTCTGCCATCATTCCACAGAGTTAATACTTCATATTTCATTAATTTAAATTCAAATTTACATACCAACTTTTAAATATATTAACATTATACTTATTTACAACAAATATTAACTAACAGTTATTAAATAACAGTAAAATGCGCCTTTCCTACAAAAAGGTATTTAGTATTGTTTTTGTCGATAAAAAAAAAATGGTTTTTGAAGTATAGAAAAACTATTCTTTAAAATCACTGAAAAATATGTATCAGCTTAAAATTGTTTGGGCCCCTTTCATTTTGGTACTTGAAAGGGCCTCGGGGCTTCCGCCCCGGCTAGACCCCCCCTTAATCCGGCCTTGACAGTGGTGTACACACCCGTGGGGGGGGGGGGTGTTCTTAAGCAGTTATAATAGTAGTTGAGAAATATTAAAGATGCATAGGCACTTTTTATAAGTATTTAAATTAGTTTATCAACATTTATCAAAATCTCGAAAATTTTTAAATTATTTTGTAGGTAGTTAAAAAATTATAAAATGTTAATTTTTATAGCTTAGGATTGACAATTTAAAACAACGATTATCATATATAGTTCATGGCTCATATTGGAACCAAACAATTTAAAAAAATAGAACCACAGTCAATTTTTACAGACATTTTAAGTTTAAATTTGGGCGAAATAATATTAAAACCAAGAAAAGCGATTTTAGTTAATTTGTTGTAGTTTAAAAATATTGCCCGTGGGTATATGAAACTTTTAGAGTAGGTATATAAATTATAAATGTATAATATAACTATTATATTTTATAGACGCAACGACATTTTCAAATGTAATTCTTTTGCCAAAAATGAATTTTACCTACTGTTATTATAGCCATAGTATAGGAACTATAATGACTAATAGACAATAGTAAAATGAATTACTTTAATAACAATCATATCATTATAATTTATAATATATAGAATATAGATATCTAGTTAGTAATATTATATAGGGCGACAGACCGTTTTCGCTCAGAATCGTTTTTCATGCATAGGTACTTACAACGATTTTATATCATTGAATTCAAATTTAACACCATTCATTACAGTGACCCACTTTTAACCTATTGTACAGCAGAGCTACACCCACTTATATCAGCTTTTTTAATTTTTACTTAGCTATTTACCTAATAACATGTTGACAATAATCATTATCGTTATTCTGTGGAAAATATGTTCAATATTTCGTAGATCGCAATAGAGAACTTCGTAATAAATAAGATAAAATATATACCTAAACGATTTGCCATTTCTGTTATACATAATTATATGACTTTGTTTATTAGCAGGGCCGGATTGGTATGTATCGGCGCATCGAGATTTTCACTTCTACGCGGCCCATTCAACTGTATTTCATTATATTCACCGTCCCAAAATTACGCCTAAAATTGTTACGAGCTGATAAGTGACCAATTGTATTTTATACATGAATTTTTTTTTCACTTACACTCACACGACCGGCCCAAACTTTAAGCGGCCCAGAGCTTGCGCTAATGAGTAGTTCTAACCAATATGGTTAGTTCTAAATTAAAATGGACAGTTCTAAAAACCAATTTGGTCACAACCAAAAATCTTTAATTTTCTGTATTATTTTGGCATATGTAATATTGTTTAATTTAATTATGTATTTTATTTAATATTTTTTTGTTTGGTTTCATCACCACAAATGTTATCAATCGTGAATCCATTCCATAACACATTAGTAAACATATTTTTTTTTATCTAGAAAATGTCACCATATTATTACTATAATTGCAGGGGTATAATTTGATATATAGATCCAAATTATACCGTCACCAAAGGCTTCAATATTATTTATCATATTTAAATAATATTGAAGAATAAAGTAACCTACTTCCTACATTCAGT